GTGCGCCATTTGTATCTCACTGTGCTGTGTGTATCGTACAAACGTGGTAGGAATGTAGTGCTTCTTCGGTATTTATTTGGTGCTTGGGAAAGTGGCAGTTATTGTGCTCTGAATGCCCCTGGAAGGCCCTGATTCGATTATGTCCAATATTTGTTTCTTTGTGTCTGGCACCTGAACATCTATTGTCGTCCACTATCTTCCTGGAACCACTCTCCTCGCCCTTTGTTGGCGTGAGTTCTTTCAGCTTCTGCTATGTTACTGTGGCATTTCCCCTGAACTAAGCGCATATCCGCAAATTCGTGAAAGGAAATTCAAAGTAAATCACAGTTTGAGAAATTATTGTTTTTATTGACAAGGGCTATCCAACTGTAACTATCTGTTAATGACAGAAAACATCATTGCCGCTGTGATTTTTCATCAAAAATTGTAGAAGAGAACTTTTTTGATATGAAAGGGTTTCATAATTTAGCAATAAATGAATAATGCAATAATCGTATTTTTTTTTAGAATGCTTAAGTATTCCAATATGCTACCAATTAAACATGGAACAATTTCCAAAAAATGCTTAATAACAAAGTTGAAATTTGATCTTCAATTGTTAAGATTGTCAAATGTTCCTCTAGAAATTTTGGAAAACAAAATCAATATTTTTCTCGTACTCCCCAAGTGAGCCTCTATCACCCCTGAAAAGGAATGACGCCAATTTTGAATCACCCTGTATATATAATAAGTTTGCGTATACTGGACTGCGTACAGGTAATTTATTTGCCTCTGTAGAATTACATTTAATATGTAATTTATTTTCTGGTATTAAATAAATAAATAAAATAAATAATTTAATTCAAAACATTCATACTTGATAAATCGTTACGAATTGGCTGTTTATGGAAGCCGTAACTTTCTCCTTATTTATTTCTCCTAATTTGGCGGAAAAGCCAAAATACTGGATATTTCTTGTGCGAAGTGAATTTTCGGGAAACATACCAAAATATAGCAGAGGCGTTGTGTTCAGTTGCGTCGAAGGTCCAGGGGATCTTCCCGAAACATTGCCCATGTTTTCCACAAACAACCAGGCTTGCCTCTCATTGTAACCAACTTGCACCAAGTAGTCCCGCGACCCCGTTTCCACCGGTTTAGTGGTGAATATCCTTCGGGGACCTCGAAATGGAATAAAACGGCATCAGCAGATTCACGTAGACAAGAACCCATTCAAACTACCCATCTGCATGGACTTGTTCTTGCTTTCTTTGCTCGTCACTACTGAGCTGATGTCTCACCTGAGCCCATGTTCCAAGTGAGCAGAATGTACCCCTGAACAAAACTGACTGCCAAATGATCCGAATAGGCGTCATGTTGCCCGTCTTGACCGATGAAAAGCAGAAGCGAAATCTGGTCGGCCGTTGTAGGGGTGAATCGAAATTTGATCTCCATTCGCTGGGAAACTCCCTCGGGCAGCTGGTAGGCCACATAGGAGGACAGGCCCTTGACTGTGGAGGAGAAATAGGGTTCCGATATTTGAAGATCTAAAAAATAAAGTTGCACATTGAAAACGCTCGTGCCTCCATGTTAGTAGGAGCACCGTTTTCGCAGAAATGCCCGTGTTTTCCGTAGGGGCAGAGGCAGATGTAGCCGCTGTTGGAGAAGGGCACGCAAGTGCCTCCAAATAGGCAGGGGTTGTTATTGCAGATCGAAATGTCGCATGTTTGTCCTAAAAAGCTGCAAATAATTCGTGTGAAAAATGTCCAAATCAAAAAGTTTTATGTACAAATCAACGGGTTCTTAACGCGGTTAGCACATATTGCGCTCCTGTTGAAACACTCTTTGTTAATTTTCTGGAGGACTTTTTATGTCAAATCTTACCCATTTCTGCAATGGCATTTCCAGTTTTCTTTGTCCGCAGTGCAAGAAGCTCCGTTTTTACATGGATTCGCCAAACATCCCAGAGAGGAACATTCCGCGATCCCGAAACCATCCTCTGCGTCTTTTTGAATTTGAATCGATTTTCCTGAAATCTATGCGATCATTGGTATCGTTTTGGAGGCAATGTGTTCTTATTTAGGATATACCATCAGGTGGGACATGCAGCCGACGAATCCTTGCATGGGCAGTCCATTGTGTAGAATCTCATTAGGAATGCCTCCCAAGTGCATCCGTACAACAGTTTTGGAATATTTATTCAACTGTGCCATTTGGTTCCCGGTCATGGTTAGAGTTCCGTTCAGTTTAATCTGGGCATAGCAATGCTGCAAGTCCTTGGCGAATTCTAGACTGCAAAAATTATTCAATGGTATACTTCCATAATATAATATTGCGGTGAAGGTTGAGCTACCCATCGGGCGCGTCCCCAGGTGGTGGATAGGAGGAAGGCCGGTCTGATAGATCTGACCAGTTAGTGACGGCCATAAGTGAAGATCATGGAATAAAACCGCAAACCGCCTGCAGTGCAACGACTTTGGTGGCTACAGCCTCGGGGTAGGTACTGTAGGGGTAGCGGGGATCTTGATTTCACTGTACGGATCGCGTGATGAGGTCACTATAACACCTCCCAATTCTCACAGTATAGTGCGCGCCAAAAGATGCAACGCTGGGGGAAAGCCCAGCCAATAGCGACTAACCTTGAGGCAACCGGCACACCTCATTGTATCAGCGGGGCTCTGTGTAGGTGGACCAACCTTTCCCTAGCTGCTCGTGTGAATGATATGGACATCCCCATAGCATCACCACCAAATACCGGCGGGGCTTCCTCGGAAGAACCATCGGGCTCCGCAGCTGGCAAAGTACCGAAAGGTGGTAACAAACTCTCGGGGACCGACAGGTGGAAGTCAAAAAAAGGCCAGGGGAAAACGAAAGCTGGAACCTGCCAAAAGTGTGCTAGGTAGACCCTCAGGGGAACCAGCACACCACAAAAAAGCTGCCACGACAGGGACGCAAAAGCGATAGCAGTCGGATGACAGCACACCTAACCAGCCAGCACCTAAGCGGCTGTGTGTGGGAACTTCCGTAAGAAGAGGAACCGCACACAAGACGTACAAAGATGCGGTTTCCGGGATTAAGATGGCCATAGAGGTGATCGGATATCCCGAGAAGAACCTGGACCTGAAATGAAGCAGAGCTGGTGCTTGTGGAGGCAAACATGCTTCTAAAGCCAATGCGAACAATAGTGTTTATCTCGGAGATTACACCTCCGGAAAAGACACTACATAGAATTGGTGTCGAGAATAATATGAACACCAGTACCTGGAAGGTTGTGGGGTTGGGGAGCGAGCAAGCCAGCAATAGACGGCTGACGATCCTCATGGACCAGAACTCGTGGGAATTTGTGTGAGGGAAGTTGGGTGATGTCGTCCCCATTATAATTTCTCGAAGGTTATGTTCAGGGCCCTCTCTTCTAGCAAGGGAGGATATACCGCCAGTACCGTGTAAGACCAGAAATGGTCTTCCACGGTACCACGGAAATACATTGCGGAAAATTTTAAAATTTGGGAACTTTTGCTGATGGGCGGAGCTATCGCATCCGGCAAACTTCTGATTAGTCGGAACGTTTTCCGCATTTCGGGCGCATTCCGACTCATGAGAACCCAGCTTAAGGGAGAATTAGAGTATTGGGGAACTTCAGAGGACAGGTACTCTATTGCCGATCTGAGGAAAACCCACGAACATGCATTCTCATAAAGAATACAGTCAGAGATATACCGTTATGGGAACACTGTAGTAGAGCCTTCATGGGTATAAGAATAAGACTGAAGTTGAAGGGCGGGGATCGGAGCATAGTTCAGCCCTCTGCATACCTACCTTACGACCAAATAGGAGAAGCGTCATTGGGTGTTACGCAAATGCGCACCACATTTGTGGGGCAGCAGTGATACCAATAGACTGGGCGAGTCTCTTTTAGAATACCTTACGACTTCATCGATTGAAACCTCTAATCAGGGGAATGAACCAACCTTTGTAACGACGGTACGAAGGTAGGTCATTAACATTACAAGCTGCTCAGATTACACTAGCGAACTGATAAGAGATTGGCATGTGCTGGATATCAGCTGGCCCAGCTTGTTCGATCATAGATACATACAATTCAATATCGAGTCGGAAGAGGTATCCTTCTCGAAGTATAGAAATCCGAAAACAACTGACTGGGTCACGTACAAAGAGAACCTTAGGTTGCAGTTGGGGGACTGCCCAACCGAAGCATCTACGGTGCTGGAGTTAGAAATGATGGTGACTACCGTCACATCACCAATAAAATCAGCCTACGGATCTGCATGCCTTCTGAAGTTGAAGAGGCAAACGAGGACATCCAAATGATGGAACTCAGGACTCTCAACGATGAGGAAAACGGTTAGAAAGCTATTTAACAGGGCTCGACGAAAGGAGTCCTTCTAGGGTGAATCCAAAATATCCCTGACGAGGTATGGCAACGCTATAAAAATAGCACAAAGGGCTTCATGGAGGAAATAATGCAAATATATCGAAGATACTCGGAGCTACGCCTTAGCGTAATTCTCCTCCATAAGGCACCTTCAAAGGAACCATAGAAAAAAATCAGTTCCCTGATAAAATCATAGGGAGGGAGGAAACAACAAGTTATATGCAACAGGTAGGCCAAGACGCCTGGGAGGGGATGAAGTCCTACCAGACCAGGTCATGCGTACCCCCCTCAAGATTCTTCTGGAATTCATTGAAAACACAGGGATAATGAGGGTGTAAAATACAAGGGCACAATAGGACAAAAATGACCTGTATGCTATGCCAAACATCATCTCGCAGGTGAGAAAAGAGTTTTAGTGGGGGAACAGCTAAGGTGGAGTCCCACACAGCCCAGAGCGCCAGAACGTCAGCTCTGGGTGTGCGTAAGAGAGCATTTCTGAAACCTCACCGGGAAAAAAAAAACTTCTATAATATACTTACAGCTCACAGCGACTTAGGAACTATAAGAACTAAATGTGCCTAAAACACAATGTTGCCAACATTTCACGATTTTGGCTCTTTTAAATGTAGACTTTACATTGTTTAGACCCAGTAGCAGTTTTTGAAGGAATTCTTTCCCTATGATTTTATTAAACGTTTCCAAAGCATTTTTTTCACGTATTGAAACTCACAATAATGTGAATTTCATTTGGGGTAAGCAAATAATTTTCGAGTTATCTACAAAAAAATCTTGTTTTTAAATGGGCTACTCTTAATATTTTATCATATTTAAATTGCGATTGAAATTATCTTTCCAAAAATATAGCACAATCTATGTTTTGCCCAACTACTCAATCAAATATAGAGGTTAAAGTAAGATAGCGCAAATCTCGAGATTCGCCAACCTCAGGCACCCCCCGGACCGGTTTCGAGCCTATTAGCTACCGTCAGCTGGGTTTAGCCTGAAATTAGCGACCACGAAACTTACACTTGATTCACCCACATACGAACACAAAGCGAGAAATCATGTTCGCATTTTCATGCGCTAGAAAAAAATTACATACTGAAAATTAAAAAAAAATGTAGACGGTTAATTTGAAGTTATTTAAAAAAGTGTTCAATACGAAAGTTTTAGATTTTTGTATTATCCAGAACTCTGCCATTGAACATTTTCCGCTATAGCTGCCTGCTATTCAGTACCTTTATTCAGCATATTTATTCATATAGTCATTTATTTTACTATATGAAAATGGTTTTTAAGAAAATTAGGTTTTAAATTAAATTAAATTTAATTTAAAACTGAAATTTAAAAAAAAATTGCTTGACAGGCTTAGACCAAATCTTCCCATGAGAATTACAGACAAAACGATCAGAATCGTAATCAGAGAAAATATCTTACCAGGCCTTAACGTTGATCCAAAATCCATTATTGATGGGAACCTTAAGCTCACTGAGCAGCATGGTCTGGTAGCCGCAAGAAAACTTGAACATCAGAAAGCCATTTTCTACGTAAAGAGCCATGAAGGCCTGATCCATGTGAACGTCAAATATCAGCCCGGTGGAGAAAAGAGTTTTGGCTTCCAACTCGACGGAGATGTTCTGACCATCGGATAATCGATGGGTGAGGAAGCTGTTTCCGTTAAATGCGGCATTTTTGATCCCCAGCTTGGTGGCACATAGAGGGCCTTCGGCATCAAATGGACACATGCACTAGAAGTAAAAGGGTGGCAAAATGCCAGTTCTTTATTGGTGTGAACATTATCTACCTGGTGTTTTCCAGAAGCAAATATGCAAGTGCCGCCGTTTTCGCATGATTCATCCGCTAAACTGCAATCGATACTGGACGAAGTTGTTGCTGACTCGGTGAAGCCCATAGTTGTAGCACCATCAATTAATGTAGTAGCTGAAGAACAGTTGGTTAAAATGCTAGAAAATGAAGCGTCTAAACACAGACCTTGGGTAGATTCGCTATAGTCACTGGGAGTCGTTTCTGTAGAGCCTTGGTGTTCTGTTGAAGGCTGTTCAGTGAAAAACAGTGTTGTGGATGTTATAATTTCTTCGGGGAAAGCCCTGCTGGCCTCCCCAGTTTCAGCAATTGTGGTTTCAGTTGAACCGAGATTCAGGACGTCGTCTGTAGTAGTTTCTACGCTACTTGAAGTAGGGGCCCTCGAATAATCTATAGTAGTGAGCTGAGTTGAGTAAGGCGAGGTCTCGTCCCCAGTACTTGCCGGTGAACTGCTGTATTGAGCAGTTACCGTTGTAGGAATCGAGGATGTTTCTGAAATTAGCCACATATTTCTGTGCAAAAGTTTGCTTTTTCACTCACGGAAAATTTAAGATTTTTTCCGGATATTGAAACCGCATATGCTCCGCAGGTCCTGGGAAATTGTAGCTTGATTTTGCTCTGAGTCAGAACGTACGAATTTTGTATGAAAAATTTAGTTTTTACTTGCACTCACAAACTGGAAAAAATCGGGAAATGTTTTTTCCTAATAATATTTTTGCGTGCAAATATCTATTTTTGTCCTGCGTTTACGAAGTCAGAACTTAAATTAAAGTTTTCAGTTCCAGATGTCTTCTATCCAGTAGGAGAATTTTAACTTTCTACTTGGGCAGAGTCAAAAGTTTGGAACTTTTACACAGGAACCTGCATTTGCTTGAAAACGCGAATTATTTTGCCTTATCCGACAATTTGAAGTTTCTTCTGCGCCTGAGGTGAGGCGATTTTAGGATAAAAACATATATCCTGACTTGCGTTTACACAGTCGGCAACATTACGGATTTAATGTAACTTGCAAGCAATTTTTAAAATTTCGGAATCAAAATAGGGGATCGGAAGAGTGCGAATATCAAGTTTCAAGCTGTGTTGAACCCCAAATTACGAATTTTTAAGCAAAAGCGTGCATTTGCCTGAAAACATCGATTTGTTGTCTTGCCTATCAAAGCCATAAAATACAGTTTCCTGAGCGATTTAAACGGAATTTTCAGGTTTTTGCTATCACATGTCTTCTGCAAACTGGCAAAATTTGAACTGCTGGCTTGTGCTTCCTCAGAAGTTGGGACTTTTAGTGAGTGAAAACTCAACTTTTTACTTGCGTTTAGAAAATTGGAAAAAGTCGGGTTTAACTGCCATTTTAGTGAAATCTAGTATTAAAAGTCTTGTGCAAACTGTAAGCAGAAGCAAAAGTTATGATTTTTTAGCCAAGCGTGCACTCGCGTGAAAGCAGTCAGTTGTTGTCTTGCATCTGCAAAGTCGGTAAAATACAGTTCTACGAGCAATTTAAATGAGATTTACCGGGTTTTGCAATCATTTCTTCCATAAGATGTAAAAATTTCTAATATCTGCATGTTCTCAGCCTACGTTGCGTTTTACTTGCATTTAGAAACAGGGAATTTGTGCGGTTTTCTTCATTATTATCAAATATTATTTATTTCCTTTATAAATGTCTAGCTCCTGTTTGCCCTGAGTCTGAAGTTCTTAGGAAAGAACGTTCACTTGTGTAAGAAAGTTAGTTTTTGGACTTTAAACCGCGTTTACAAAGTAGGTAGAAATCAGGTTTACAGGTACTTTTACATACTGAGATATGTTAAGCTTCTTCTTGGGTTGTGCAAATAATGTAATTTTTTTAGTTAGAAGATTAACTTGCTTGATAATATTCAATATTGTCTTACGTTTTTACAAAGGCAGAAAAATACAGTTTCAGTGTGTCTTTGAAGAAATTTGGTCGGTTTTAAATGTCGTGATGCCTTTTATTCACCGGAGAAATTTCAAATTCCTGTTTCTGCAAGGTAAATTTTTGAATTTTTAGGACTGAGCGTTTTAGGTCACTTTTTTTGTCTCGTCCGGCAAAGTCAGAAACAGCTCATTTGTACAGCCAGCTAAATAAATTTGTCAGGGTTTTCATAACCTTCTGACTTCTGCGAACTGTAAGAACGTGAAGTTTTTGTTGTTTTGGGTCAAGTTAGGAAATTTTAGGCCACTTGTGCTTGTGTGATAAAGCTCTTTTTTCACTTGCGTTTGCACGGTTAGTACAAATCTAGTTTTAGTGAGACTTAAATGAAATTTTCATGGTTTTCAGACTACAGTATTTTTTAAAAGCTGAGAAATTTGAAGATTCTACTTGAGCTGTCCGAAAAGTAAACATTTTTATAAGAGGGATAAATCGCCTGAAAATATTAATTCCTGTCTTTCGTGTTTACAACTCCAAAATACAATTTCAGTTCGTTTTAAATGAAAATTTCGGGGTTTTTAAAACCAGATGCGGCGTTGTGGTGACTGTGAAAAATGCAAGTCTACTGAATCAAAAAACGAGCATTTTTGGACAATTATTTTGTCTTGTCTGTTTCTCCTACTGGTTAAACACATTTTTCGGGGTTTTCATAACCTGATGGCTACAAACTGTAAGAATACAAAGTTTCTGCTGTTTTGGGGCTCAAGTTAGTAATTTTTAGACCGGAACGTGTACTTGTGTGAAAAAAAATAATTTTTGGACTTGCATTTACATCGTCGAAAATATGCAACTTTCCAGTTTAAAAGTTCGGTCAAATATCTTTTATAGGCCGTAAAAATTGCCGGTTTCTTCTTGTGTAAGTATGAAGTTAAAATCGTTTGGCGAGAGCGTGCAGTTACACCGTGTAAATTTTTTTTTCGGGTTTTGCAATCATATTTCTTTCACAAGCTGTAACCATTTTTTTAACTTTCGGAATCAAACTAGATCCCCAATTTCGATTCCGAAGGGTGCTAATATCAAGTTTCAAGCTGTGTTGAACCTAATATTACGAATTTTTAGGCAAAAGCGTGCATTTGCCTGAAAACATCGATTTGTTGTCTTGTCTTTCAAAGCCTAAAAATGCAGTTTTCTGAGCGATTTAAATTAAATTTTCAGTTTTTTGCTGTCACGTGTCTTCTGCAAGCTAATAAAGTTTGAACTGTCGGCTTGTGCTGCCTCAGAAGTTGAACATTTTAGTGAGTGAGAACTCTACATTTTACTAGCGTTTAGAAAATCGGAAAAAGACGGGTTTAACCGCCATTCTAATGTTCACGTGTATGCTTCTCGTGGGTGAAAAGTGATGAATTTTTCGCCTAGAGTGTGCACTAGAGGGTCTGAAGTTCTTCGGAAAGAACGTATTACACTTGTATAAGAAAGTTTATTTTTTTACTTTTAAACCGCGTTTACAAAGTAGGTAGAAATCAGGTTTGGTGAGAGCGTGTAAAAAAGTTTATTTGTTCAATTTTATTGAAATTCACTTTCCTGGGCGATTTAAATGAAATTTTAGGGATTTTGCAATCATATTTCTTTCACAAGCTGTAAACGTTTCAAATATCTGCATATCCTAAGTCTTTAAAAAATTTTGTGGCTACGACAATTTTTTTGCTTGCGTTTACAACGTCGGAAAATGTCAGCATTTAGTGTGACTTAAATTAATTTTTCAGGAAATTTACAATAAAGTGTCGTCTATTTACGGTGCGAATTTCCAGTTTCTGTTTGGTCTCAGTCAGAAGTGGGAAACGTTTAGGCCGGAACGACCGCTTGTGAGCGAAAGGTCATTTTTTGACTTGCGCTTACACTGATAATTCAGAACACTTCAGAAGAATTCAATAGAAAAACTTAAATTTAAAAGCATTTCTCTCTTGCCAACTGATTAAAGTGAAGATATTTTACGCACAGTAAAATCATTATTTTTTTATTTACCTCAAAGTTTTTGATGTTTTACACGTGACCCAACAGTGCAAACCCAAAACCTTATTACCAAATTAATATTTAGATTTTTGCAAAAATCTCAGTTGTGAGTGATTATTTTTTGCTTCATATTTCCCACTCAACGAATTTTTCTTTCTTTCTCCGTTTCAAAATTTTTTCAGACTCGGATACAAACCTGCTTCAAATGTTGTCGTTTCCAAAGTCGTTGCTTCTTCAGTCGTTTCAGAGGAAATCAATGTAGAGTCAGTGAATTGTTCAGTCGTAGTTGATGATGCTTCCAATTCCATAGTTGTTGTTTCTGCGGCTGAAAAACAAACAAATTCAGACACGGAAGAACAAAGAAATGTTCTACTCCTGAACCTACAAGTGGTTGGAAAAAATTCAGTCGACGTAAACGTGGTTTCGTTTACAAAGTAGTACGTTGTCGTCGTCATCGGTAGCACATAAGCGCAGTCCAGCTGATTGTTGGGCAGCATGAGACACTCGCAAAAGGTTCCAGTCAAATTCGGGGGGCAAGAGCACGTAAATTGGTCCACTCCATCGATGCAAGTGCCTCCATTTGAGCATCTGAAGCATCCAAAGGGAATTAATTGAACGACTGGGCGAATTGATTTGAATTACTTTGGGCCGAGCAGGCATTCGTCGTATTGCAGCTGGCACAAATCACCGTGGAAATCTGGAACGCAGTAGCACACTGGTAGATTGTCTTCCAGAAGACACAAAGCACCGTTTTTGCAAGGATTTTTCGAGCACATTCTTACTATTTCTTCGCAATTTTGGCCGGCAAAGCCTGTGGAGAAGAATGTTTGTTATTGTACAAGTGTCCAATTTTTGGGCACTTTTTCTCCTAAAATTGTAAGATGAAAAGTTAAAAAATGAGAAATGGGCAAGCCGTCTTTCTAATGACTATGCTCATATCTTCTTCTTCGTTTGTATTGACTAGGCTAGAAGAATAGGCCCTTTGCAGATTTTTCCCTTGCTTATTCGGTTCATTTATGGTCAAGTAACCGTTGTACAATTTTATTTTTTTTAGTTATAAGCAATTTAAATTTGAATTTCTTTCTTTTTTTCTTTCTGTAGTTCACGTTGTGATGGCTGTTCACCTTTTTTTTTAAGCCAACTTGAAAGGGTGCTTAATGATTTGAAGAAAATGGCCTACAAATATTGTACGGTGCCTGAGTGTAGCAGTACTACGGCGCCTACACTAGAAAAAAAGCATTTATAAAAGTGCTTTTGGACGAAAAACGTCGAAAACTGTGGCTTCAAATGGCGCGAGGAAATCCCCAAGAAATATCGTCGAAAAGCTGCATTTATGTTTGTGAAGATCATTTTACAGTAAGTTTTATTACATATTTTCTTCGCTCCTCTGAAGTAAATACCAAAAGTAGATGCTTAGATTAATTATCACATGTATACCTACAGGGTGGTTTTTTAATGCGATATTATTCCGTTATTTCCGATGGTGTTGAACTTTCGAAAAATAGTTTCATATAAAAGTTGTTGACGCGCAAAGTGCGCACATTTTAAAATTATCTCATATGATTCAGAGTGTCTTAGAAAAGCGCGGCAAGATCAAAGTGTATTTTTTTAAATAGAACTACTCATTTTTCATTCGCCATGGAATGCACCTTGAAACGCTGCAGATGCACCGTAAAAAACCACCTTCTATACTTCTTAGCTTGAAAACGAGGTGGAAAATTATATGGAATTGAAAACGATGGGGGTTCGAAAATAATGAAATCAGATGCAATTTCTCGCAAATTTGCCTGCCTAACAGATAGAAAACGAACTTTGGATCTGCCTGTACGCAGTGCAGTTTTCACGCGTAAGAGACTTAAAATTGTCGCAAATATTTTACACGTACCTAACCGATTTGTTTTAAAACAAATTTAAGGTTCTAACACAGCAAAGACCTAACAGAATGTAATGTTTACCAATTATGAGTTTATATGAAAATTAAATCTGATGATGGCGCTATTGTCTCGCCGAAACGTTATGAAATAAACGATATACAAATTTTTATTTCACACTGACTGAAACGCAGGAAGGAAAAGAATATATTTAGTATCACAAAGAATACGCCTTGATAAAAGTTTTGCAGAATCAGGTGACGATTTTGTGATTTCGACAAGTAGGGGAGAGTGGGCCACCATGAGACTTTGCAATATTTTCTTTTACAATAAGTGTAGACATCTATTACCCCGTTTGGGTATTAGTAGCATAGTGTTGCTTCGGTGGTAAAAGTTTATTCCTGTCTGAATCAGTCTTGACTGAGATTTTGACGAAAACGCATGTGGGCGGACACGTTTTTTCTTCAAGAGTATTATTCTGAGCCAAATTTTTCAGTGAAAACATAAAGTTAAAGGTAAGAAATGTAAGTTGTAGATATAGTGTTGTAAGTGCTTTTTATTTGTATAAGAAGACTTTGTGATTTTAAATCGAATTTACCAAAAATTTGACAAAGTTATAACGTGTAAATGGGCTATCATGAGACACTTTTTGAGGCCACCTTGAGACATTGTCTTACGAAAAAACTTTTAAACTTTTAATAATTAATTGGGCGATTATGTATCTTTAGATGTCAAGGGGTCGCAAAAGAAAGTCCCAGAAGGGTACATTTTCAGAAGTTTGTTTTAGTGGGAGTAAGTGGAGTAAAAATGTCATTGCGAAAATCATCTGATCGCAATGGTGTTTCTTTTCAAACTCATCACAGATGAGTGCCTCAAGTGCCGTTCGGAAGTTCTTTATACAGGGTGATTCAAAATTGGCGTCATTCCTTTTAAAGGGTGATAGAGGCTCACTTGGAGAGTACGAGAAAAATATTGAAATTTTTTTTTTCGAAAATTTCTAAAGGATATTAACAGTTGAAGATCGAATTTCAACTTTGTTATTAAGCATTATTTCGAAACTGTTCCATTTTTAATTGGTAGCATATTGAAATAATGAAGCATTCAAAAAGAAAAATTACGAACTTTGCTTCATATTACGAAACTTTTTGATATCAAAAAAGTTCTCTTCTACAATTTTTTGATGAAAAGGCACAGCGGCAATGATGTTTTTTGTCATTAACAGATAATTACAGGTGGATAGCGCTTGTCAATAATAACAATAATTTGTCAAACTGTGACTTACTTTTTCCTTTCACGAATTTGCGATTAGTTAGATTCACGAATTAGCGATAGGGAAAATGCTACAGTAACATGGCAGAAGCT